TCTCTCTCTCTCTCTCTCTCTCTCTCTCTCTCTCTCTCTCTCTCTCTCTCTGCCTGTTTTTGCCTGTTTTTCAATAGCATAATGGTCCACGGTCAAAATTGAGTTTGATTTAGAAGAAAATTTAAATTTACACCAACAAGGGCCAAATTGTCATGGTGCGGGACAAATGGCCATGGTCAGACTTAAGCCATGTGTGTTATGATAAAGAATTGATTTCAGTAATGACTCCATGTTTTTATATTCTTTTTTTTTATTAAGTGCCAATAGGGGCCTATATTCTTTTCTTTTTTAATTGAAGAAATTGCAAAACGACCTTAGTGATACATTTTGTTCAATGAATTGAGAACTTCTCGTTGTTTTGTTGCTGTTTTCCTTTAGCTTCCTCAAAACTTTAAAAAAATGACTTAGGCCATTTGTTCACAACAACCACGACTGTGACGGAATGTTCTTTATAAGTGTTGGGGACACCCAACTTCTGAATTTTTCCAAAAACATGACATTGTCACCTTTGCGGAAATTGTCTATCTGCTCTGGGTCCTTGATCCATCCCGCCCACATCGCAGCCATTGACTTGTACATTCGGTCTGTCTTCGCTTCCGCTTGGTCGTGGGGGTAAAAATCGTGGTTGCCTAGCGACGGATAAACAGGAACTGATGGGAAGCTGGCATTAATGGCAGACGTGACGTTTTTCATGATGGCCAGATTTGTTTCCAGATCCATGTACTTGTCGTCAATGTGAGCCACGTTGTCTCTGTGAACGAGGACAGACAATTCTTCAGCGGAGGGAAAACAAATCCCAAAGCGGTTTTAGTAGTCAAATTACTCAGCACCTGAAATCCTGGTCAATATACAGTCAACTACAGATGAGTTGATGTCGTCAGGGGAGTGGAGAAAAAAGATCAGTTCATCCGAAGTTCAACTTAATCGTTGAGAATTGTAAAGAACAGATGTAGGAACCTAGGAAAAAATCAATTTAACCAAAGAACAACTCAAGCGAGTTCAACATAAGCGGAATCGACTGTAATAACGATGATAACCACTTTCAATTTCGTCCTGAAAATTATTATATTATTATACATCGCCAAAGGATAGAAATAGGCAACATGAAAATTAGCTGCTGGAGCAGCAGTATTGGTAATTGTAGGAGAATACAAGTGGTGGCGCTGACGGTGTGGTCAGAGCAGTTTTAGCACGTGGGTGCTGCTGAAGAGATGAGATAATGATGATGATGATGATGATGATGATGATGATGATGATGATGATGATGATGATGATGATGATGA